CCCACCCTGGCCACACCCATCCGGCCCCCCAAGGGCAACCACAATGCTGATGTGGCCCTCAATGAAATTGAGTTTGACACCCCTGTGTTATAGCATTGAGTTTGACACCCCTGTGTTATAGCATGCACGCACGCACACACACACACACCAGAACAAGAAAAACAGAGAAAGAAAAAGGAGAAACATCTTCATATAGCAAGAAACTTGATTCCAAAACTGTTTGTCAGCATCCAGATTACACAGGATCAAAATACAGCAATAAGTCGTATCTATATAGATAAATTAGATATAGAGTCACCTCGATCAATGAGAAGAATGCCTTTGCTGACAGAGCAACGGTACAAAAAAAAAATGCATCGGCTGGTACGTCAGTCTCCAACTAAAATCATGCAGAAAATAGAAATCGATAAGATAAATAACTGACCGATACTTATTTGGATAGATATCGTAAACAGAACAAGCAAATAAATACAGTTTTCGGATTAAAAAGGTCTCTCCTCCTGGCATCCATACAAACTTATAATCCAGGAGTCTGAGCGAATGCAAAACGACATTTAAAAAGCAAGGCAAAACTAGGCTTGGAACTCTGTTAACAAGATTTAAAGGGGGGGGAAGGAGGAAGGAAAGAGGATTAATTTAGATTTTGTCTGCTTTTGAGGTTCGAGGCGGAGGGGAAAAAATTTCAATCTCCAGGTCAAAAAAAATCTCCCCTTTCTGGGCTCTTCACAGACCCAAAGATACTAAAGCTTGTAGAAATGGGTTTATGTTGGGAGGAAGGGAGAAGATAACTAGTGCAGATAGTCCTCGAATTACGACAGTTGAGCCCCAAATTTCCATGGCTAAGCAAAACCATTGTTAGCTTGGCCTCATTTTACAACCTTCCTTGACACAGCTGCTAAATGAATTGCTGCAGCTGTTAAGTTAGTGACCGGTTGTTAAATGAATCCGGCTTTCGCATTGACTTTGCTTAGAACAGTGGTTCTCAACCTTTTTAATGCTGCGACCTCCAACCGGTCGTAAGTTGAGGAATAAACCGGTCGTAAGTCGAGGACTACCCAACCGGTCATAAGTCGAGGACTTTCCCTGCCCGGGAGTGCCGTGCATGCGTGGTTCCGCCCCCTGCGCCGGCCGAGGCGTAGCTGGCAAGCGGCAGAGATGGAGCAGGCCGACCACCAGCTGGCCCAGCTCAAGGGAGGTAAGGCACCTGCCGGAAAAGGGGGGGAAAAATGGCGGGCAGCCTTGTTTGGCGACCCCCGTGAAATAGTCGATCGACCCCAAATGGGGTCGCAACCCATAGGTTGAGAACCGCTGGCTTAGAAGGTCCCAAAAGGGGATCACGTGACCCCCCCGGGACACTGCGACCGTCATAAATATGAGTCAGTTGCCAAGGGTCTGAATGTTGATCTCATGACCCCAGGGATGCTGCAAAGGTCATTAAGTCACTTTTCTCGGCGCCTTTGAACTGTCACTAAACAAATGGTAGTAAGTCGAGGACTACCTGTATGTAATGCACCAAGAAAAACTGGACGTCACTGCCTCTTTTTTTCTTTGCTCTCTCCCTACATTTATTTGGGCTCAGTTGTGGTTGTAAATCGAGGACTACCTGTATTGACACAAGGAGCAAATCTGAGAATTGGATTAAAAATTGGAAGACCCTGTTCATTAATAAGGAGATATAGGGATTTCCCAGCATTCAAAAATCCTGCCTTAAAAAAATGGGTATCCACCATGATGTAGGCCCAGTGCATACCGTCCTCACATTATGACCGCAATGGGGCCAGAATTTCCATCACTAAGCAATGCCGTCCTAAAGTGCAACATCATGTGACTGCATTGCTTCTCAACAGCAATTCCAGCAGTCCCTGTTACTGTAAACTAAGCAAGGGTTGTGGATTGTTAAGTGAGGACCTTGTAACTTCCTGCTGGCTTGCAACCAGCAAAGTCAATGGGGAAGCCTGCAGAGAGTCGCACGTTCCCAGTGATTTGTAAGCCCGCTTGCAGGCGGCTAGGTAGCTGTTGCTGAGCGGGGAAGGGTGCTCAAGGATGCGCAAGTGATTGGCATGACACAAGTACAGAACCAGGGGTGGTTGTTGCCTGGTGCATGCGTGTAAGCGTGGCAGGGCCAGAGGTGGTTGCTTCCAGGTGGGCCAGGGTGCACAAGTAGCCAACGGGGAATGCTGCAGGCACCAAAGCTGGGCCCAGTGATGGGATTCAGCCAGTTCGCACCAGTTCGGCAGAACCAGGAGCTAAATTTTTGTTGAGTTCTGAGAACAGGCTGAATGCACCCCTGGAGGAGGCCTCCCAGGCCTAGAACAGCCCACTGGAAGTGCGGGGATGCCATTTCCGGAAGTCCATTCTAGGCCTCGGAGGCCTGAAGGAGGCCTCCCAGGACAAGAACAGCCCGCCGGAAGTGCGAGGATGCCACTTCCGGAAGTCCCTTTTAGGCCTCAGAGGCCTGGAGGAGGCCTCCCAGGCCAAGCACGGCCCGCCGGAAGTGTGGGGATGCCACTTCTGGTAGTCCGTTCTAGGCCTCGGAGGCCCAGGCCTGCATCCACGCAGAGAACCAGTTGTTCAGGGATTTGAATCCCACCAACTGGCTGGGCCCCACAGTGCAAAAAGGCCTCTGGAGTGTGAGTGACTTACCAGAGTGTGACCTTTCCTGCTGACTTCCCCATTGACTTTACTTGGGAAGCCAGCAGGGAACGTGCACAATAGAGGTCACGTGACTGCAGAAGGCTGCCTGTCATAAGTGTGAGCCAGTTACCAAATGCCCAAATTACGATCCTGTGAGCGCAGGATGCTGGGATAGCCAAGACCTCAAGGACCACTTTTACAACGCCAGCGTAACTTCAAATTGTCACTGAATGAGTGGGTGTTAAGTGAGGACAACCTGTATTTCAGACTACGGATCCCAATGGATCTTCATTTTAAATTCTTATGTAGGTATTCGTTTAGGCGCAGGGGTGGGGAACCTTGGCTCTTTTATGACTTGTGGACTTCAACTCCCAGAATTCCTGAGCCAGCCGGCTCAGGAATTCTGGGAGTTGAAGTCCACAAGTCATAAAAGAGCCAAGGTTCCCCACCCCTGGTTTAGGGATTGCAAACTAAGGATTGCCGAGCTGTTTGCTCAATGGTTCTTTGATTGTGGTCCTAAGGTTTGGCAAGAACAGCGCCTACACATTTAGGAGAGGTGGGTGTTTGCAATGAAGAGAACCGATTCTTGGCACAAGAGATGGTTTTGTTTTTTGCTCCTTAGGAAAATTGAGCCAAAAAAAAGAGTTAATATTAAAACTTGTGTCCTTGACTTGTAGAAGGCCTTGAGTTCAATCTTCAGCATTTCCAAGTTTCAACCTGAATGTCCCCAAAGAACACCCTGCAGAGCGGTGTTTTTCCAAACTTGGCAAATTTAAGATTGTGGACTTCAACTCCCAGAACTCCTCAGCCCTCATGGCTGGCTAGGGAATTCTGGGAGTTGAAGTCCAGTCTTCTTAAAGCATGCCGCCTGGGGAATTCTGGAAGTTGAAGTCCAGCCACCTTAAAGCATGCTGGCTGGGGAATTCTGGGAGTTGAACTCCAGCCACCTTAAAGCATGCTGGCTGGGGAATTCTGGGAGTTAAAGTCCAGCCACCTTAAAGCATGCAGGCTTGGGAATTCTGGGAGTTGAAGCCCATCCATCTTAAAGCTGTCAAGTTTGAAAAATACTGCTGTAGAGGCTAACACTGATTTTTTTTCCCCTTCTTGTTTGCATGGAAGGTTGGATGTCCCAATAAGGACTCTCTTATTTCCTCAGACCCATCCATCTGAGTTTTGTCTTCAGATGGGTTCAAGCCATCTGAAGTGCAGATGGAAAGACTCCGAACTCTTAAGGCTGGGAATGATCTGAGTCTCCACAGACTCAAAGCAGAACAGTGCAGGATAAGGCAATTCCGTGAATATCACCCAGCCCACTTTTAAAATTATCATTATTCATTATTATTGAGGATTGTCTCTCAGGCCAGGATATCAAAATATTAAAAAATAATCACGGCCCCCTCTCTATCTTCCTCTTTCCTTTGTTATCTCTCTGTGTGTCTTCCTTCATTTCGATTTACTCTCCAGACTGTCCATAGGTCCATTTCTTTTTTTGGCCCCCGGGTTGAAAGTCGTTATCGGGCCTCACTCTGATTTTTCTGCAATTTCCTCTGGAGTCAAACAGAGCAGGGAGAATGGGATCCCTGTCCAGTCCCCCAAATCTTGCAAAACAGCCTTTTTCGGGACCATTGCTGGATCGTCAGCTGGTCTTCAGAAGCTCTTCTGGGTCCAACTCATTCTCCTGCCCACTTCATGTTGACACTAGCTCCCAAATCAAAAACTGGAATTTGCACCCATTTGGGAAGTGAAGAAGTTTCCTGGGTGAGTGAAACAGGTGGTCACATCCCTCCGTCCCTTCCGCAGAAAGCCAAGTGGGCTGTTGAGGTCATCTTCATCTCCAGCGGATTGGCAGTTGCTGAACAACGCGACATAATCAAGTGCAGCCAGCATGCATCTTAAAGGGATACATCCTCAGATTCTCTGCATGCATTTGTGAGGAAGAGGCTTAAAAACAGGGAGGGAGCCTGGGTTTATTCATGCGCCCACTTCCTACCCTGAGGGAAACCCATTTGAAGGAACTTTCCTGCTTCCCTTCAAATTCCCAGGTCCTCTTCCCCTCTACCTCCAACACGGTCACAGTGAAAGAAGATCAGCTCGCAGTGATCAAGTGACACCTCTTGACCCAAGGGACAAAGAATATCCTGACCTTCTAAGAAAATAGGGTCACACTGCTAGCTGCTGAGGTTTCATGCGAAAATGCCGGGATGCCCCATTCATGGACCTCAAACATGCAACACCCATTTTAAGGAAACACTGCCTGGCCTTGGAGGAATCTGCGTGAGCAGCTCTCCAACCCTTCCCGGTTTGCAGAGCAGGAAAGAAGCCCACTGGGGTTAGCGGCAGGCACAGAGACCGGGACAGGGGAGACTTTATAAAAGGGGGAGCAAGGAAGTGAGGGGCAGTTCCTTCTCGCCCATCAGAGTGTCCCGTTTGAGACTGCTGCCTTTGTTGACCACTTTGACCTTGAGGGACATTTTCTTCATGTTGCTGATGCCTAACCCGTCGAAAAAGAAATCTTCGTTGAAGATGGGGTTGCGGCTGTTCTTGATGATCGTGCTCCGTTGTTTCTGCACCTTGCCGGGGTTTAAATAGAGAGACACACAACAGTTGATGCTCCTGACATCACAGTGCTTGTCGTAGAGGTCTTCGGCGGCCACAACTCGCACCCTCAGCCGGGCGTTGGACGGATTGTATTGGGCCACCAAGCGGAGGCTGCCTCCTTTGATAAAACTGAGCACGTGTTCCTTGTGGAATCTGTCTTGGGGGTCCGCAGGGGTGAGGGGCTGGGGTTGCACCCCACCGGTGGCTCCCCCAGTCGGAGGGGTTGCACAGCGCATGCGGCGCTGGGAGCTGGGACTGGTGTCCGCCGAACTATCGTCGGTGGACAGGGAACTGTTGCGAGCCACCGAGTGTTTGAGTTTGATGACCTTGGATTGACTCTCCTGGCTGAAGATCTTCAGAAGGGACACCGACCTGGACAGCAGTGGGGAACCGAAGGGAGAGGACTCCGCGGAGGAGCAGGTATCGCTCTCCCCTCCACTGAAGTAACGGTAGGGATTCATGAGCGACATGCTGATGTCCGAAGGGTTGAGGTGGGTGCTCTCTCCATTTGTCTTGCCCCCTCCTGAGGTGGACCTCCGTTGAGAACTGGGCGAGGAGGACTGGGATGGGCACAGGCTGGTGTGCTCGCTGTGGAAAAGAGACTCCTTGCGGCGCGTGTGAGGACTCTCCATCAGTGTTGCAAAGCCGTACGAGGTCTGTGCTTTGGGGACATACGGCAGCGACATAGCTGTCTGGGACTGGGGGTCTGCATTGGTACTGTAGTCTTCTTCAGACATCCATTCATCCGCGCTCTCGATCTGGATGATGTGTCGGCTGGCGGCTTTCAAAAGGTTTTTGCTCTCCGAAACGGCCTTCACGGGCAAACGAGGGCTGCGCTGAGTTTTGCGGGCAGATAAATTCTGCTCGGAGGCCGAAGTGCCCAGATTCGGTTTGGTGTTCCCTTCCTCTGCCTCAGGAGACACTGTCGGCAGCTTGGGAGGAATGAAAAAATCCGGGATTTTATCCGGCGTCAGGACGTTGCTGTACAACGGTCCTTTGGACTGCTTATCGGCCGAGTCGTTGCCGCGAGAACCGCTGTTGTCCACTGAGCCTCGGATTTTCTCTAAAAGCCACATTCTGAGTCTTTTTTTCTTCTTCTTCTACTGGTTCAGGAGGAGACCGACAACTGGAAACGCTTGGGAAGACAAAAGAAAAAAAAATCAGAGTGAGTTTCTTACCCTGCCAGTTGTACAGAACAGTCTTTTAATTTACAAATTAGCTACTGCTGAGCAGTGAAATGATCTTCCCCCCCTTTTTTTTCTCGTTATAGATTCCGTCAGAGGAAAAGAGCATTGGTTTTTGAAATTTCTTTCCAAGGGGAAGACAAAATTTCAGGGGCGGGCCACAGTTTTTTTAAAAAACTTATTTCTTGACAGCGTGTCAAGTGCTGGGAAAACCAGGAGATTCAGGCAGTTCAAATGAGTATAAAGATTTATTGCACGCTTAAGCTCTCTACAAAAATCTGACCTACTAATGCACGGGAATTAAGAAGGCATTCAAGGTGGGCTGGATTTAGAGCTCTTGCAGGTGCCCAGAGACTCATGACTGATGACACATTTGACTCCTCCCTCGGGCTCAGCCTGGTCATCTCCAACACAGCAATGGTAATTAGACTTTTATATCCCCCCCTAGTGCTTTACAGCCCTCTCTAGGTGGTTTACGGAGTCAGCATATTGTCCCCCAACAACCTGGGTTCTCATTTTACCGACTTTGGAAGGATGGAAGGCTGAGTCAACCTTGAGCTGGTCAAACTCAAACTCCTGGCTGTGGGCAGAGTTTGCCTGCAATACTGCATTCTTAACACTGTGCCATCGCAGTGACATATGATGCCACAGTCAGGGCCTGCATCTTATATTGCTCACTGTAGCATCATTTCTCTAGAAGCCTGTAAGTTCCCAGAATTCCCATTTTCCCGTTGGAAAGTCTTCCCAGTAGATTTTATTTTTTGCAAAGCATTTCTGAGGGAATGTAGTTTGGTGGGAGAACATCTGAAAAATGAGGACCACCGATCATTCTGTAGTATGCTGATGAGGCCATACTTGGAATACTGCGTCCAGTTCTGGTCACCACAATACAAAAAAGATGCTGAGGCCCTAGAAATTGTGCAAAGAGCTACAAAGATGATAAAGGGTGTGGAGGCTAAAACATAAAATGGTTGGTTGAGGAAACTAGGTATGCCCAGTATAATGAAGACGAGGCTTAGCAGAGTCATAATAAAAGTCTTCCAATACAAATAGTCCTTCACTCACGACCGCAGCTGAGCCCAAAATTTACATTGCTAATAAGATATTTGTTAAGTGAGTTTTGCCCCATTTTATGACCTTTCTTGCCACAGTTATTAAGTGAATCACTCCAATGGATAAGTTAGTAATATGGTTGTTAAGTGAATCTGGCTTCACTATGGACTTTGCTCCAACACTGGAAGTTTTTAAGAAGAGATTGGACAGCCATTTATCTGAAATGGTATAATGCTTCCTGCCTGAGCAGGGGGTTGGACTAGAACAGGGCTTTTCAACTAGTGGTATGGGTACCACCTGTGGTACATTGGCATCTGGCAGGTGGCACGCGACCATCTTAGAAAAGTGGTAGCGGGGGAGGGGAATGAGCTGAACCGGTGGCAGCACCGCACAAGCCTGAGCGAGAGATGGCTGGAGCTGCAGGGCTCTCAGGGCTCAGCGGAAGCGCCAGGATCAGTGCCACTTTCCAGCTGATCGGCGCTTCTTCGGGGCTGTCAGGGCTCAGTGGAAGCGTCAGGATCAGTGCCAGGCTCCAGCTGGAGCTCGGCGCTGATCCTGGTGCTTCTGCTGAGCCCTGAAGAAGCACCAATCAGCTGGAAAGCAGCACTGATCCTGGTGCTTCTGCTGAGCCCAGAAAAAGTGCCGATCAGCTGGAATGTTGCAGCATCTCCAGGGTCTTATGATTTACATTCAAATGCTTGGCAACTGATTCATATTTATGACGGTCACAGTGTCCCGGGGTCATGTGAAGTGACCAAAACCTGCTGCAACCACCCAGCAGACGGGGGGAATAAAAACCAAACACCCCCCCACCCCACCCCCGCTGCCAATCCTCAACAGAAATGCTCACAACAATGAAAGCCTCGGACAGGAGGAAGAGCGCGGCCGGGCGGGCAGGCAGGTGTCTTGCTCGGCTGTGGCTTGGGGGGCACTTTTTTCAGTGCCATTGTAACTTCGAACAGTCACTAAGCGAAATGTTGTAAGTCGAGGACTACCTGTACTTTATCACTTTTTTCCTTTTTTTTTTTTGGGTCATCAAGTTTTTGACACTTTGCTAGGCGACTGGTGGTACTCGGATATTGCCATATCCTAAAAGTGGGTACAATGGGTGAAAAGGTTGAAAAGCCCTGGACTAGAAGACCTCCAAGGTCCCTTCCAACTCTGCTCTATTCTATTCTATTCCATTCCATTCCATTCCATATTCTATTCTATTCTATTTTGTATTCTATTCTATTTTGTATTCTATTCCATTCCATTCCATTCCATTCCATTCTATTCTTATTCCATTCCATTCCTATTCCTATTCCTATTCTAATTCTATTTTGTATTCTATTCTATTTTGTATTCCATTCCATTCTTATTCCTACTCCTATTCCTATTTCTATTGTAATTCTATTGTAATTCTATTTTGTATTCCATTCCATTCCATTCTTATTCCTATTTCTATTCTATTTCTATTCTATTTCTATTCTAATTCTATTTTGTATTCTATTCTATTTTCCATTCCATACCATTCCATTCCATTCTATTCTATTCTATTCTATTCCTATTCCTATTCTAATTCTATTTTGTATTCTATTCTATTTTCCATTCCATTCTATTCCTATTCCTATTCCAATTCCAATTCCAATTCTAATTCTATTCCTTTCCCTTAATGACCACAGATTTGCTTAACAGCAGCAGTGATTCATTTAACGGTTGCCACAAATAAGGTCATAAAATCAGACTGGTGATGTGGCCAATCCAATTCCCGACAGTCATGAATGATGACCCTGATTGGCAGGCTTCATTATGGAGGTATGTTTAGGACCAGCTGCACTTGAAGGGCTGCCCCGGGTCTTTTTATTCTCCACAGCAGCCGAGGGTAGACAAGAAGCAATGGATAGAAGCTTGTCAGATACAACCTGGAAATAAGAAGGAATGTCCTAATGATGACAACTATTGCTTCCAAGAGTTGTGGATGCTCCATTACTGGAGGTTTTAAGGAAAAGATTAGACAACCATTTATCTGAGATGGTATAAGGCAGGGGTTGAGCTAGCCTGGGGTTTAGGCAACTTTGGCTCTTTTATGACTCGTGGACTTCAGCTCCCAGAATTCCTGAGCCAGCCATGCTAAGGTGAAAGGGAGAGGTTTCCAAGCTGAGCCATGCCGGCTCAGGAATTCTGGGATTTGAAGTCCACGAGTCATAAAAGAGCCAAGGTTGCCTAGCCTCAGCTAGTTGAACTGCCTGTGCATGCGCATGCAAGCTAGCCCATGACTCATGTGAGTTGAGCTGCATGCGCTCATGCGGCCCAGTTTCCCTCTAACCCCCCCCCCCAGCCAGGCCACCAAGCCACAAAGATTGGGGGCCACTGGTCTTCCTATCTTGGACAGGTGGGTTAGACTAGATGACCTCCCAAGTCCCAAAGTCCCTTCTAGCCCTGTGATTCTATGAGAATTCAAAAAAAAACAAAAACCAGTTCCCATTGGCTCTAAAGTTAAACAACACAGGAGCCTCTGCCTGCGCATGATGTAGGTCTCTGAAAATTACATAACAGAACATCTGATTCTAAG